TCTAGCTATGACACTCAGAAGTGTTTTCACTTTTGAAAAACTTAATTGAAAAGAGGTGCTTTTACTTTGTTTAAGAAAGGAAGTTTGTCTGACATGTTATTTAAGAGCTTGTGCATGGGTGAGCACCAAAGTTTCATTTCCTTGAGAACATGAAACCAGCAGAACAAAACAATCTGTCTAAAAGCACCTAAACCTCTTATTATTTCCAACAGGTTTTACGGACAAGCGGAGGGCTGGAGCAAAACTGTAGAGTACTTCTATCTATGCAGGCGTAGGCAACCTTTCCCCTTTAAGGGCCGAGGGACTTCAGCTCCCAGAATCCCAGGAGCTGTTGGCCAACATGGGACTTATTGGCCAATATGGCTGAGGCTTCTGGGAGCTGAAGTCCCTCGGCCCTTAAAGGGGAAAGGTTGCCTACCCCTGATTTTCTATTGCATGCCCAATACAGGCCAGGTGGTTCTGGGAGTTCTAGCCCAAAAATAATTTCTTCCAGATTTACAACCACGCAAACTTACATGCGCCAGGAAATACTCCCAAGTTCTCTGGGGGAGGAGATAAGGATTGAAGTGGAGAAAATTGGCAAAACCATCACAAAAACTCGGAGCAGGTGAACTATTTCTCAGTAGTTAGTGTCAGCCTATACCTCCTCCACACACACACAAAGTACCTTCATCAAAATCTATTGATAGCCATGCCAAAAATCCTGACCTTTTCAGCTGTGTAAATTTGCTCACTCCTTCCCACACATCAGAAAGTACATTTCCATCCAATCTCAGTGTTTTTCTCCTACTTTGTTCGATTCCCAGTTTGGCCATGGAAATCCACTCACCTTGAGTGAGTCACACTCTCTCAGCCTCAGGGGAAGGCAATGGCAAAACCTCCTCTGAACAAACCTTGCCATAAAAACCCCAGCCTTAGGGTCACCGTAAGTCGGAACGCCTTGAAGGCACACAACAAATGGATGTGTTGTAACCTCCCATCCGAAACTTAATCACACGGAACAAACCAAAACAGAAAGAGAATTTTTAGGGAGGGTGTCTACTCTAGATCTCTCACTTCAGGACTCTGCTTTTTGATTCATAGGTCCAAAACACACTGTAGAAATAATCCAGTTTGAGACCGCTTTAACTGCCCTAGCTCAATGCTAGGGAATTCTGGTTAGTTTTGTGAGACATTTAGCCTTATCTGTCAGAAAACTCTGGTGCCACAATAAACTATAATTCCCAGGATTCCCCAGCACTGAGCCAGGGCAGTTAAAGCGGTCTCAAACTAGATTATTTCTGCAGTATGTTTTGGACTATAGACTCAGAAATCCACCACCGAACACACGCATGACTGCCTACAAATCTCCCCACCCTATTTATTTTCACTTTTCCTTTAAACTCAGGATTATATTGTATCTCATAACAGCCCACAGAGGCAGCAGAAAAACAAGCTGTTAAGGGAACTTCCTCTCACAATGTACAGTCATCCATCCACATTTGCGGATTTGATTATTCACGGATTTTATTAGTATGTTCTGTCTAGGAATATCTAGGTCCTCCAGCGCAACTCTATGGTCAACTTTAACCAAAAGGCGCACTGAAGGACCTAGAGCAGGGGTAAGGCTGAGAAGCCTCAGCCATGTTGGCCAATAGTTCCTGGGATTCTAGGAGCTGAAGTCCCTTGGCCCTTAAAGGGGAAAGATTGCCTACCCCTGACCTAGAGATTCCTAGAGAGAACCCTTGACTAGGCCTTTGTAGCTCCTCCAGTGCAGCTCTATGGTCAATGTCTGGCAGATGTTGACCACAGAGTTGTACTGGAGGACCTAGAGATTCCTAGAGAGGTGTTCTCTCAGGTAAAAACAGTGTTTTTGTTATTTGTGGTTTCTCCACATTCACGGGGGTCCTGTACACCTAACCCTAGTAAATGTAGTGGGACCACTGTAGTTTGTTACTCCGTCGGTGCTTTTATCTCTCTCCTCAGGTTGTTGTTGTTGTTATTATTATTATTATTATTGAGTATTTATACCCTGCTCTTCAGCCAAAAGGCTATTAGAGCAGCTTACAAATGGTTAATTAACCATTTCCCTGCCCTCAGGTCCTCCAACTCTTCAGAAAATACAATGGCTACCTGCACCCCAATTTTCTGAGAACCCACCTACCCCCCCCAAAAAAAA